CACAATTAATGGAGATCTTCATCTTTACGATGCTTATTATAGTTCGTCCATAAATAATTTATGTTTTATTATACTTTAATGTTGAAATTGAACACAAACACATAAAAATTGTCTATGGGATCGGTCTAAATTTAGAATGATATTCCTTGAATACGTGATGCAGCAGTCTTGGTGGGAGAGCGTTCGAAGAACTCGAAGTATAATAATAAATCAGCGTTATTACAATATTCATAGTTAAAAAAGTGCTTCAATTGACTTTCATACCATCTCAAGCTCAATCATCTGCTTGAAAGTGAGCTATGTAAATCTCTGAAATCTACCAGCTTTTTGATTGTGATTACTCGCGAAAGGATTTCAAAGCCAACAAACTTATTAGTTAATGATTAACTTTCACAAATATTTGTGTAAAGAGCTAAAGGCAGAATGGTTCATATATTGTATACTATACAAACGGCGGCGTTCTGTTGACTCAAACTATCAGGTTTGAGAGTTTTAAATGATTATGAAAAATCTGCTTTTAAACGTGTATATCAATTGCTAAGTTTTTCCAAATTTGTTGGAATAATCATCAGGTATCACACAGAGAATGGAAATTAGTTAAAATTTTTGAATTGCCGATTAGTAAATGTTGCAAAAGTTAAATGTTAAACGTTCTCCTATATGTAGAAGTCTGGTATTAATTGCGCTTTCTGTCTACTGAATAATGTGTTCAGTTGGAAGGATACAATTGATACTTGCAGCAGTATGATCATATATTTGATTTACTAGATATAATTGAAATTTTATCGTTTTTAGAGCAAGTCGATTAATCCATTTAAGACAACGTCGCAACAAACATCAAGCCGAACATTCTTCTCATAGTCCAGTAGAAGTCGATTAATCAAAATGAGCAGTAAACCGAATTAAGATCGCCTATTATATTCGAGAAAACTTTTAACCCAATTTTACGTCTACCAGATGAAAACTATACAGACTTTCATAATAAATAATCAAAATCGAAAGAAAGCAACCTCGGAATTGATTTATTGTTATAATGCAAATTGCTTCAACAACGATCATTCCATGCGTGTATGTATTAGTTAACGGTACCTCGTTACGCCCAAAAAAGGAGATGAAATTGTACAAACCGATGCTTGATATTCAAATAAACGTTCTTGACGTGGTGTAATCAAGTGAACTTCATATACACGATGCTGACTCATGAGAAACGAACTCTATCCAAACAATTAAAATGTCAAGGAACGCTCCACAGGTTTAATTTAGTTTCAAATCCCATTACAATATCATTTGGTCATAGTCTAGCCAAAATTCAATATTTTCTTTTTGCGGAACGCCACTGTTGTATCTTACCATCAGATCAATAGAGCCTTTTAGGAGAGTGTTCAAATCTGTGATGGTTCGTTGTGAGGCCTCATATAACGATGGTTTCTTCTATTTTATCATTTTCTTCTAACAAACTTTAACCTGGCCCTTTAATTATGTACGAGATCGGTTTCAACCTGGTCATCAGACGGACTAAGAACAGAAAAAACTGTTTTATTAACAGTGGAAGAAAATTATTTTTTAGGCGCTTGATCAGCAGGAGGATATGTCGAATCTTCGGTGTTAAAATTCCTAAAGCAGGAAAAATGGCATGGCAGAATAATATTGACCATGTGAAGCAACTTTCTGGTTAATAGAAAGAGTAATAAATAGCAGCAATTGCTAGACTGTGTCCAAATCCGGATTATCTTCTAAATTAAATCTGTTCGAAACTATTCAAATATTGTATTCCCAAACAACTGGATTCGTAGGAGAGATTTCTTTTCGTGGAGCTACCCAAAAATCTAAAGTTTAAGTCAACCGACTAAATAATATGAAGAAAAAGACATGAAGATTAGAGTAGCACCAGAAATCAGACAAATCTTTCGTAAAGTGTCGAGAATAGCTTTTTTCCAATTTTTTTCTCGGTTTGCTCATTGTCGGCATGGCAATAATGCCCTGTTTGCATAGTTAGTTTAATTATTTTGTATTTTTGTAACATTTTACATTTCGGGGAACTTTTCTTAAAGTTCTCACCCGTTGTTTATGGCTAGTCTTTTTAAATTGTTGTCACTTTATCTGATGATGGTTAAAAACCAGAACGTCGTAGTAAAGCAATCGATGTGAAATATGCGCTTTAATTGACTGAAAACACAGGAATTACGAACAACTAAATAATAAATCTCCAATAGCGAAGTGATCACATGCTAAGACGCGTTTCTGCCAAGATCATGAAAATATAACCACAAAAGAAGCCACAGCAGATATGATTCTTTAATCCATAATATCGTCTTCAGTGAATAGGAGAGCTTAGAAGATTTTTTTTTAATTATAAAGATAACCAACAAAATTAGCACAGTCGGGAGCACATGGAAAGTGGCCGTTTAGTTTTCGTAAAAATGATTGTTAATACACAATTTTCATCAATTATAAAGATAGATGTAAAGAGGAGACAATTTTCAGTTTTGGTTTAACCATTAGTTTTAATCTTCCTTCAAAGATATGCCACTGAAGCGAGAGTCAAATGCAAAATTAAGTTCCGACATACTGATAAAACTCAATTAGCGCTTGTCGAACGAACAAAATATTTTTAAAATTAAAATATTTAAAATTTTGACAATTTTTTTTTGTTTTCTTTCATCCGTATAGACTTTATTTATGTGTTCCATATTTTACACTAGGTATAACTTCTCTTAAATGTTCTCCTTTATTTTCCTCCTCAACATTTCTTGTAGTTGGCAAATTTCAGTTGCTTCTTAGTACTTATATTTTTTTTTTCGCTTTTCATGTCAGGTCCATCTTTGTTTCTCACGCAACTGATTTTCCGTGCCGTAGTGTTTTTTTTTTGTCCGAGTAAATTTGCGCTATTCATTGAAAGTGTAGTTAACGTATTTCCACGTATAAATCATAGTGATTTCATTAATCTATTTAAATGGTCAATTTACAACGTCGTAGTCTGATTTACTGTGAAATCAATCAACGTCAATAGTACCTAACGTTCGTTTTTCTTGCACTAGAATATTCTCTTATGGGCATTTCAAGGACGCTAAAATATGATTTGTTTTTTCGAGAAACGTCCCACACCAGAACTTGTTCATGCCTTTTAATTATAATCTTTGATTGCGCCAATCGGTACACAGATAATGGATTCTTTGAGTTGTGCCATTAAGCTAAACACTGCAATTTATTAAATGACCGAATTGGCAACTAAACGTTCTAAAATTATAGCATTTCTAATTTTAGTTTGTCGTTCCATTATTTTTCCTAGTTCGATGAATCTCATTAGCTGCTTATTTCTTTAATATTCTACAAATCAACTAAAAATATACATTGTAATTGTATTTGAGTTCTATGACTACTCTTATTATGTTGTGCCAAACTGTTACAAGCATTTATGTTCAATTTACTATGTTTTCGCAAAATTGTAAACAAATCGGCAACGATGTCCACTTTAAATTTGTAGGTCCTATTCGTTTCACTTGTAAAAATTGCTGTTTGAAATGTTTTATCTGCTTTTCCTCTATTTGTCATTCGACATTAAGCAGTTTTAAATATTTCAATTTACTAGAGCTTTGTTGTATATTTGTGTCTTCACAACTTCTGTGTATTATTGATGTAATAGGTAGTAGTTTTCAATTGTTTAATTTTATTTCATTAATATATTTGTCAGAAGTTCATTTTACAGGTATTTCTTCCGTTTTGTAAATTTTAATTGTTTTTACAATTTTTATATTTAATGAAATTTACTTAATCCAGATCTAATTGACGTGTGATCGTTCCACAAAGCCTACGGGAACTATAATAATGTTTAAGTAGCTGCATGAAACATGATTCAAATTTTTATGAGCTATTAGACGCACTATGCTACAAGGCAACTTATAATTAAACTCGAACTTAAATAAAAGACATTTTACGAGCATTTACGTCTGCCGGTAAGTTAGACGGGGGTCGTGTGGGATAATCTATGTTTAAGGTTTATTACCCTTTGTTAAAGATTTTTATGTGCCTCTTTCCATACAGGAGATTAGTTTGTACGTGAAGCTCGTATTATTTGCAAAGGTGCAATTCTTTCATGTTGAAAAACGGGTCATAATCTCCCGTGCTTTCCGACTAAAAATGAACCGAACGACTCATTCTTAGTCGGAAAGCACGGGAGATCACTTCGCCCACTGCCTCATCGCCTTTGAAAATGTCCACCGCAGTTGTGGACGAAACGTCAGGAAGAAATTCCGATAGACCACGGCTTCAAAGCCCGGAAAACATTCCTAAATGCGTTTAAATCACTCATTTCTCGAAAGACTAAATGGCTCATTACAGTAAAAACGCTTAAAACTGTTGTTTTCAGAGTTATACTTACTGAGCAACCTAAGTGGTCTAGCAGATTATCTCTGACATCTTCAGATCAAGAGAAAAAAACTTGCTGGAAATAATCGAACCGACCGATGCACTCTTTGCACCTTCGAGATGAAAGAAATTTTCTTAAATTTTAAATACCAAAAAAAAAGTGAACCAATTTAAAAAGTTTATTTCAAAACTGCAATGGAATGTTCAGATTTTGCACAGGAAAATTGATTATTCAGTTCGGATTCGAGCAGTACACAATAATAACTTCGTGGTAAAACACACGGTGTTCCACAGAAGCCAAAACGAATGTGCATCACGTATTGGCAATAAATACATGGATGTATTAGGTGTTCGTGGAGCGAACGAGAAAATACATAATTTATTCTTAGTAAGGTAAAGAAATTATGGATGTTTTTCTTTTGGGCTCTATACTTCGTGTTTTATGTCGTTTGGAAGATTTATGGATTGTACTTGGCTCTCTTTGCCGGGATTTAAAATGCCAGTGTTTTTTTTTGTATTCGGAGCAAATGCGCTGGATTTGTTTTACTCATACAACTGGGATTTATATTAACTTGCCAATGGAATGCGTGGTACAATTTAAAACCGAGAATAATTTGATTTTTTCTTTGTTTCAGTATGGCTCAGATGAATTTACAGACTCGCCCAGGTACACATCGCCAGGAACCACTTCCGGGTACTACCTGGCGGATGGGTCGACAAATGCGGTCGGAGGGGGCGAATGGCCGCCCGCCTACACGAGTTCATATCAAAACTATGAAACCTACGGGTTAATTCCCGAGCCAGACACGGGGGCCCAACAGGGGTTGCCGCCCATGTCGTCGCTCAGGCCCAACGGGGCTCCAGCAACCACAATTGCCGGCCCTGGAAATGCCTTTGCGAGTCCTAACGGGCACCCTGATGCAGTTGTAGGCAAAGCATTAGGATCGGTAAGTGTTAAAGTTCTCCTTTGACTTACCTAGTTTTTGATTTTCCACTGGCTAAAATGCTGAGGTGAAACACCAATTGGGGGGAAATTGACCAAAAAAAGGGGTGTAGAGAGGCTCACGTGCATTCTTTCACAGAACGATACATACAGTGAGTCCCCAGAGCTAATGTCTAAATTCATTTAACATTCAACGGGCTGCTTTTTGGAAAACATCCATATTCTCTACCTAAACTGAACAGAACTGGGGGAATTTACGGGATAAAAAAATAATAACACGATACAAGGAAAGTTTATTGTGCGCCTTGCATATTGTCAAGCTGTAAATTGCACACATTTTGAACATTTAATTGTATTGTTGTTCCGTTTCTTCAAAAAAATGTTTGATACTGTGATGCTGTAGGTATAAAGAATATGATAATGACAAACCGTTTGCACTTATACCTTTTAGTATACTATTTAGAGGGTACTATTTATCACGAGATAGACAATGTCCTACAAATACAATTAGAAACAATTAAGGTATTAACTATGTAACAAGAGTATAATTTTTACACTCAGTAAGTTTGTTATAACGTGTTTTAGCCCCCTCAGATGTGTATAACTGTGCCAGAAAATTTTCTGTCAACAAAGAATTCTCCTTCCATAGAGTCTCTGTTCCAAAGTTTTTATTTGAGTGCGAAAGTATTTAGGCTCTTCTGCTTCACACTGTCCTTTATTGCTTTTCGCTCTTTTCCGTTTCTATTGCCAGCGTTCTTCCTTTTTTAAAACAAATTTTAGAAAATAATTGTTGAAAATGCTTTGTCCTTAAAAATCCCTTAAATTTTATGCCATCAAATGCGTCATTTTTTTTGAATATATGCGACGATTTTTAATGCATTGCATTTTTGACTGTAAATTTATTGCCGTTTCTTCCCAAATACTTTTTTCTTATTGCAGTTATATACGCAGACGTCTTTTACTTTTTTCGTGCGTTTACATTATTTGGCTGTTGTAAACTCTTTTCTTCCTCATAGAAATCACTTCGGTAATTTTCTTCTTAACTGTAATCACGTTTTCAAGTTTCAATTCAGTGTTTAAAGCAACATTTTCGCATTCGTTTGATAAATTATCAATTGCAAAATATAGTTCAATATCATCTGACCGTCGATCATGGTCAGAATTTACATTTTCTGACAGTTCTTGGGTATTGGAATTATTGGTTTTACTTTACATAAGAATTTCTCATTACTTTTTGTAAACATCTTGAATTGCCCATATATACATGTATTTTCTTAGGACAAAAGTGAGAAATGGAAGCTCCGCGAAGATAAACCTGCTGTAAACCGAAATAACTGCAAAGTTAAGTTTGCAGTTTTTAAGCAGTTTCGATCTGTAACATGGTATCAAACATCCTGTATATGATTATCGACAAGCTTCTTGGACCGAAAACTATCTATTGAACTTAAAAACGCGCAAGTGCATATTCAAATTGTGGTCGAAACAATCATAAGGCCTTTCACTTTTCATATAAAACAACTCAAATGCCCTAAATTTCTTAAATTATACACTATTTTTATCGGAAGGAAGTGACAAATACAACAAGCGCAAAGATGCACACGCCAGAGCGCGGTAAAGCAAAATAACTGCAAAAATTGGCCAGTTTTGAGCGGTTTTTAATAATGTCCGGTCACTAGTTTTAAGCAAAAATTGTCGTTTACACTTTTTCTGACTTCTCAACGGCTCATTAAATATAGGAGTGAGTAGCTAAAGAGTGAATGACATTAAGCAAGAGGATTAATTTAGCATGCCTTTAATATGTTGTACTTATAAAACAAGCAGATAAATTTAAAAAAATGCAAGAAGCAATTTTTTTTTCCTAATTAAAAATGTCTTGATGAATGCATAATTGGCATAATGTCAACATGTAAAGTTAATAATAAGATCTTCTCTAGTGAATAATAAGTCATCTAGCATATTAATAAAAATTACACATAAAATAAGTAGTATCAAAATAGTTTTCTCTCCCGCGTTTACAATTTTCTCAATACTCTTGGGGTTCTAATTGGCGACCTTCAAGATAATATTTAAAATATCGTGTGTGTACTTTGGTTTAACATATTTTCTCAATTTTTTCTAGTCTTTTGGGCTATTTTTTTATATCTTGATAACATGGCCACAGATAATTTTTTTCACACTTTCCTTTTGTTGACAATTGGGAAGACATAATAAATAATTGTTATTTGAACATGAACACGGAAATGCAAAAAAAAAATATTATGTCTTTGTGAGATTTCTTCGTGGTCAACTTGATTTGCAAACACCACAATGACGAAATTACCTTTCACAATCCTGTCAATGTATTGACCAATGCACTTGATCTTATTTATTAAATCAGAATTGTGCCTTGTCAACTAAATAAATATTAATTATATAGTAGTGTTAAGCCCACTCGGATATAAGTAAATATTTTTCCGGAATTATTACAATGACATTATTGATATGTAAATATTTTCCAGTTTGTTATGTTAGTGGGCCTCCTACACGATGTGACGTTTTTTTCACTTATCATACCTTTACCTACGCGAATTTCTTGATGCATGACACACTTTCCGAAGCGTTGTTTATAAACAGGTTTAATTCTAAAAAGAGAGTTTTATTATTTACCTTATTAAGTGTTTCGTAATGATACTGCTGCATGGATATGGTAGCAATTTTCTTGTCCTTAAACGCTTAAAGTACCTGGATGTTTTTACATTGTCTATTTTATTAGTTGGCTTCATTGGCTACTTAAGTATCGTTTACTCAATACATTTTAATAGGGTTCTGCAGTAATCTAGCAAAGGTTAACGTTATTAAATTGCTCAATTTTCATATTTAAGATATATCCAGCGGCGGAACAAGCGAGTGCTAGCAGTTATAGTTCAGCCCCCTCCACCCCTGTCAGTTCTCCACCGCCACTGGCACCCACAGGCTGGCTGACCAATCATAACACCCCACACTCCCCCCATTATACGCAGGCTGTTACGTCAAATGCCCCACAAAATTTACATATGGTAAGACTGTACTAAATATGTATATAGTTTTTATTAAACATTCATTTTACGTACAGTGTCTTCATAGAATGTGCATTTGCCCAATCAAGCATTTAACTGTTTGTTAATTATATGCATTTATGAAGATTCTGTCTCATTCCTAGTAGACCTGGGTAGCATTGTGTTGAGTTGTTGCCGCTCTCTGAGTTTATGAGTTGTAACTCATCGGTTAATGGTTAAAACTCATTTGTTAAAGCTGTACCAGACCAGATACTGAAAAATCTTGTAGTAAAATGTAATGTTTTCCCAGCACCGTAACTGAGTGCCGGTGCGTTGGGTTGGCGTACCAACAAACAACAAACTCCTATAAATTCGCCGAGTTACCCAGGCCTAGATAATAGGCATACATTAATTACTTTTGATATTTTCATACAAACACTTGCGTGCTGAGAAATCGACCCATCTTGAATGCTACACAAAACGAACAAAACACAAATGTAAAATTTGGTTGCATAATGCTGTTTTTCTAATAAATATGAATTTGAATTTTTAAAAAATCAACGTGGGTTTATCTCTGTACACATGGGTGTTTTTTGCTGTGCACAATTTAAAACTGAGCTTATGTTATGGCACTTGTAGTATTTTTGCATTTTTTACTTTTCTACTTTTATGTGTTTTTTGTTTGTGTTGCATGTTTTTTTTTCTTTTCGTAAAGCCGTCGGCCCCCGAAGCACAGCGCTTAGACGACGCTATTGGGTTCCTTCGAGATCATGTCGAAGCTACGCAGGTACTATTTTGCTTTTGTTTATTTTAGCTCATTTCAGTCACCGATAGTTTATACTTACTTTTTCTGCATGAATTTACTAGCAATTTTTTTCTTGAGTTGAGAGAGCAACATTATTTTTTGAAAAACTTATAAATGAAGATATAGCGTAACATTTCCTGATTGTATTGCCAGGCTTTTTTCCAGGGTGCTCGAATGGAAGAAAGACTGGACGATGCCATAAACGTACTGCGCAATCATGCAGAATCACAGATAGGTTTAGGATCGCTGCCAAATAGTTTAACCCCTCATCAAATTACTCAACTCGGGTATTCAGCGCCGCCATCTGGCGATCCTCACCTACCCGATGCTGTTAAAGTAGAACGACCAACATACAATACAAGTAAGCACCATATTCACTCAATTACAAGGAAATGTTCGATAAAACAACGAATCCAGAGTGAGTACCAGAAGAGTACCTTTCTACTCTAAAATACCCCGTAGTTTTGATTCTAAAAGTCCCAAAGCGTAAAAGTTAACAACAAAACCAATGTCGAAGAACTAGTTTTGGGTGCAGCGTGTACACAGTTTTCCTGTTACTTTTATGCTTTGAGGAAGTTTTAGTCGACGGCGTAAATTTCGTTCCCTTCAAGGAAAAGGGGTAACAACTGAAATTTTGCGTTTTTTGACAACTAATACGACTACCAACAAATTTTAAATATTCCTCTATTGGAAAAACCCTTGCTTTGTGAAACAAAAGATTTTCTTCTAGTTTCAATTAATATAATACGAGAAAAATACGCGGGCAATCGGCAAAGATCTAAAAGAAAAGTTGAATCGATTAATTAACACAGGTTTTCGTGTATTTGTATCTTGTATGTATTTTACTCTGTTGCTTACTGCAATGGTATTCTGCTTGCGATTGTTATTTAAAAACGCATCTTAGAGAACATTTAATATATTTTATATTTCTGATCATTTTGATTATTGCATAAATAGCAACTGAAAACTTGAAGTATCACAATATTTGTTTTATGGCATTTTTTCCTTTTTCGGGGTAGTTTAATACTTTATCGCAAAATTGTTGTCTTTTTGATTCTCCGCAAAACCATTCATTTGTATGCTTTTTAAAAATGCCTGCAGTCAGCTGAGTTTTAAACATATTTTATTGGATAAATTATTGTTCTTTAAATAGAAAGAAACGAGCTTCAGCTCTCAACTAATTAGTAGTTGAATTGAATTCTGCAAATAGATGGAGGTCTTTTTCTTTGCAGAAAAACGTAAAGAACCACCAGATAATGACACAAAACCGTCCAGTTCGGTAGATGTGTCCAGCATAGCCCCCAATTCAACCAGTGGAATCGGCAAATCTGCAAAGAGATCGAGGAGATGGTACGTAGAGACTGATATCGCTGTGTTAGTAATTCCATTATCTAATATTTTTAAAATTAAGAAAGCATTTGGGTTAGTTTGGGAGGATTATTAGAAGCCAGTTTACCAATTGTCTGTTTCCAAATTAGTCCAAATGATGGGGTTTAATTAAGGCGTCAGTTTATTTCACGAGTTTATTGAGTTCAGTTGCCCTAAGCTAAGAGTTCAAAAATACGTAAATCAACACAAGAACAATATAAATATCGTGCATTAAACCGCAAGGGTATACAGGGTCTTTCTCAGTAAGTGGTCCAAATACTCCACAGCTTAGCTGAAATTCAAATAATAAGTACATCAGTATCAGTAAGCTGCTTGACCTTCTGCTTATTCAGGAGTACCCTGTAATTTGAGTGTAATTCGCTCACTGGTGAAGGAGACTTAAGTAAAGGACCTGATCAAGTCGCCCATTCGCAAATGCGGAACCATTAAGTGGCGAATTGAAATCGCAACAGTTTCATGGATACAGGATTGAAGTTAATTGGCTAAAGTAGCTAAATGCAACATTCTGATGTTTTCAAATTTTTACTAAAAAAAGTGCAAGGATGTGTAAATTTGTTTAATATATTTTTTTGTTGAATAATTTAAATCAATGTTTCAGAGAAGAACACTAAATTTAGCATAACGCATACAGCACGCAAGAGGAACATTAACCATAAAAATATAACGTTTTTTAGACAGTAAATCATCTTTCTTTTGTTCAGATGAAAACACGAATGAATATTATGCGATAAATATTTCTTTCCAATAAATCCGGGCATTATGAGTCATTTTTTTAAATTAGATTTTCAAGTGCAAAGGTTCACAGGATCAGTAGCATTTAAAGAAGGATTTTAGACGCACATTTTTCTTAAGTAATTTGCTATTTCGCATGCCAATGGATAAATTTGAAAAAGAAAGAAATATAATTTTATTTGATCAAGCCTCAAGTGTTTGTAAAAACTAAGCATGCGTGGAAATTGTATAAATTGATTTTACGTTCTACAGATTTTGGCTATTTGAATGAAAGTAACATCAATCCTGTGCCCATTTAATTAGTTGACTAAGTATTATAATCTTTAATAAGTTATAAGCTAAGAAAATCACAGCAGAATTTGGGTTCAAAGGGTGCGTTTGCAACAAAACGTACATTTCAAACAATTCTTCTGTCGTCTTTTCTTCGCTTATCTATGCAAATTGGAGTGAAACCATCACAGATGCAATTCGTGGCATTCGCAGCATTTCTGAAAGTCAATGGATAGTTTCACTCTGTCTCTGATTACATATTGTTAATAATGTATAAAAAGAGTTTGCTCGAAAAGTTTATTATATAGCAATAGCTGGAGATTTTGGTTGATGAATCCACATCAGCTTTTCCTAGTACATTACAACGTGATATAGAAAAGTCGTACCTACCTTGAATGTTGTCTTTTCCATTTATCATTAGTAACACCGATGAAGACGAGAGCGAGGACTCGGGCAACAAGGCCGTACGCGAAAAAGAGCGTAGACAGGCCAATAACGTTCGTGAACGGTATGTAACAGTTACTAACTTATTCCCCTTAAGGCTCTTAGCATCTCAAAGATCACTTTAATTCATGAGAAATTGAACAATTTGATGATATTTGCGAAGAACTAGTTTTGAGAGTACCAGAGAGCCTTAAGTAAATATGTCCTCGTCACCCACTAGCTCCTGAAGTATTGTATAACCTGATTGATATTGTCTATTATTCCTAGGCCCATATTCACATTACAAATGTTACGTTTCGTTTTTTCTTATTTTTGTTTCGTTCACAAAATGATACCGTAACATTCGTTTTACGAATTTGGCCAGCGCATGTGTAGATTTTGTGATATATTTTTGTTGCTCTCGGCTAAAGAAATACATTCCCTGAATATGGGCCTACATACACTCAATTCCTCTATTGTTGTTAATTAATAATAAAGTGTCTGAAAGCGGCCGTCCAAGTCTAACATTAAGTAAGTGATCGTCTCTCCAAGTATCGCAAACATTTCGATGCAAGCTCTTTTTGAAGGAAACGATATATTAATTGCACAATAGTAAAAGTCGGAATAGTTGTTCCAGTGCTGATGAGACTGAGGACGGCGAGTTAGACCCCGACATTAAGGCACAGAGGGAAAAAGAGCGACGGCAAGCCAATAATGCAAGGGAAAGGTGGGATTTTGTTTCCATTTATCTTTTTCAAGATTTTCACTGTCGTTTCAGTGTATTGTGGCCTATATTCTTGCATGTGTTTCGATTTCGTATCATTAACACAACTATTTACTTCATTGCTTTGGTTAGACGAACAATCGTGCTTATTGGGCTATAAAGGGTGTCCCGAATTTGTTAGTCAACAATGATAGRGCTGAAAATMAGTCCARTACTTMATAATTATGAGATGGTTTATATGATGTTTGTGAAATGTTTAATAGAAARGTAGCTGATAGRCACTCGCCTTGAATCGAACTAAATTGAAAATTTATCAGAAATCGTTTTATTSTACAGGTACGGACAAAACTAACTTTTGTCATAAGTCTAAATACTAAAAATAGACCCATTGTTTTAAGTACTGATCTCTAATGGTGCGTCCAGACCTAACGAACCGACCTTGAGCCGCGGCAAATTTCTTCAAAAAGTTTCGTGGATCTATTCCATGGATCGTCTGTCACTGTTTTGACGAAACTCGAAGGAATTTTGCCKCTMCTGAGGATCGRCTCAGGCTYGGCTCGTCGGKACTAGACGGGCCATTAAATGCGCTTATTATAAAACATAAAAAGAACCGATACCGAGATTAAATATTGGAGGCAAARGACAAAAACGRCCTATTAATTTAWCGGTAATATAAGAAAAACACAGTTAACAAACAATTCAACAAAGTCTYATATTGTCAACCCCATCGCATTGGTCGAACATCAAACAATAATGAACCAGAAKTTGACCATAATAACGTACACATTTTAGWTTGTCAACCGCAATTATCAARRCCAAAGTGAATCAATTTTCATTAAAATCAATGACGGGGRAGTTTAGAAGGGACACCGAAAATTTAGACAAAGGTTACAGCAACCTTCTGCAAAAAAAATAAAAAATGATGAACATCGAACCACTGACTAAWCGAAAAAACCATTCGTTCGAGATATTTATAAGTACTTTTTGTTAATTGTGTTTTTCTTATATCAMCGTTAAATTATTATRTCTTTTTTGTCCTTTCTCTCTTGAGCGWTTCAATTTATATTTTTCGTTAATRACAACTAAGATTTAAGATATTTTAAGACWGAGTGAAACCACTCTGTTCGAAAGTCGAAACGTTGGCCCAAGAAAAATAGTTTTTTTTCTGCCACTATCTATTGACCCATTAAGCCAAACACCGAAACTAACATCTATCCCGTATTATTTGTTATATGTACATATACCATTTTTGTTGCAAAGAGTGTACCTGTACAATCAAAGRAATTCGGATAAATTATCAATTAAAAAAGACGAGTATCTATAGGCTACTTTTGYKGCAAAAATTTAGCAATTAAGAATAAATTWAATTTTTCAACTTGTCCATTCCATATCGGAAAAAATTACTGAACTTTTTTTCAGGTCTTTTGTACGCCCTATCACTGTTMATTGTTGACCAACAGTTTCGGGACTCCKGTATAAGAAAATTGTTTTGATTCAAGTGAACCATGTGCGTGTTAATATCAATACTGCSTCCAGATCATCAACAATATATTTTGTATAATGCCTCATTTCCCACATCTAGTTAAACTAATATCAATATCGGAACATCACACTTGTAGCATAATACAGCAAGTTAACACAGCTAACAAGCTAACACAGCAAGTTATTATTCGACTGTTTGCTAATCAATAGATCCTATTTGTATAGAATACGTATCCGAGACATCAATGAAGCGCTTAAAGAGCTTGGTCGGATGTGTATGGCACACCTCAAAACGGATAAGCCACAAACCAAGTTGGGTATCCTGAATATGGCTGTGGAAGTCATTATGACGTTAGAACAGCAAGTTCGTGGTAAGTAGAAATATAATCTACTTATTTGAGTATTGAATATTGAGCGTCTCAAATTAAAACGTTTTTCTTAATGCTCTTGTAGAGCGAAATTTAAATCCAAAGGCAGCTTGTTTGAAGCGACGAGAAGAAGAGAAAGCCGAAGACGGTCCTAAATTGGGGCCAGGACCTCACCATATGTTGTCGGGACCTCATTATCCCACATTACCGGTAAGAGCTCCGATTTGTTAGATAAAATTCAAACTCAGTTGCCTTGAAAACAAATGCCTAACTGATTTGTTTGATATTGCAAGGACGTTGTAATAAGTGACATAATAACGCATTTGTTTGCAGGACAACCTGTCAGATGACATAGATGTGAATTTCCAATTTGTAAGTCAAGTCCGAACCAGTTGAGAATGTAAAAGCGAATGTAAGCGGTGATTTTTGTTGTATTTTAGGGAGTACCTAGTAACCACAACGGACCCGGACAGCCCCAATAGCATTGCTAGTAGGGCCACTTTGCGCCGCGGTCTCTTTTTGCTACCTGATTGCCCGTTAAGGAAAAACGAAGAAACAAGATTGACGTTTTTAAAAACCCTTCCTTCTGACATCATTATTAATTGCCATTTATTATTTAATTAATATATGTTTTTATAATTAATTATTAAATCAATAATGATGATGATGATCGGAACAGGTGAGTATTAAAACTCATTTTCCCAGACGATTCAGAAGCTACCTATGGGTTTTTTTTTAATTGGATGGGGTTTATCGGAATTTAAACAAATTCTCTGTATTTTGCAATGCCGAGCAGCTTTTGTGTTTTGCTATCTACTTTATATGCTTTGCAGGGAAATGTCTTTTCTGTCCATTCACATGTGAGTAATTTACCACGATTATTCTGTTTGTGTCGAAGAAAAGACATTTCGCTCGATTGGTCCAATCATGCTTATATTTGGTTCGAGAAGTTCGAATGTGCCAAACTTTTAAAATACTCTCTATTAGTTTTATTGACTTATCTTAATAATTATTGTCATAGACAGCTACTTAATTTTTTTACGCACTGTATTACGGTTTGATCTCTTTAATTTTGCCATTTGTAGACAATTTTTATATTCCAGACATGACAATTTACCTGTTAGTTTTTAAGTTAAGCCCTGCTGAAAATAAGTTACTTAACTCTGTTAGTTTTTAAGGCTCGCACAAAATAAGGGGCTTTATCGATCAAACGTGTATATTACTTACATTGGAAGTTGATCGCTTAGAATGGAAAATAAGTTCACGCAAAGTTGTTGCTAGTTTTCCGTCAATTGATCCAAATAATAGAGGGTTATTGGTCAATAAGGGCAGGCAGTAATAAAAACATTTTGACATATACGCCTACGCAATTTAATGTAAAAAGTAAGAGATCACTTCATGACAACAGTGCATGGCGATAATTGTGCCGTGATGCTATTATCTAATTTATACCTTAAACCACAAGTTAAGATTTTTAACGTCCGCTTGCAGGTTTTAGCACATTTCTAATACTTTGAATCAGACGATTGTCTTTCAAAATGAACAAAAATAAAAATTCCAAGTTAAGGTTTACTATTCTTTCTTCTCCGAGTTCTCTTCACTTGCGCTCATCTTGACAGAGTCCAGAATTTCCTTTATTGAAACAATAAAGTGCTAGTGGAAAGCAATGACAAACTACCGCCATAAAGCCAATGCACTGATAACATAAGAAGTAACCTTTTTAATGCATGGCAGTATTTATAAATTCCAATAACTCTCTATTATTTTATATCAAAGTGGTTTTATCTTATATTAAAATAAATCAAACTTTGATATTGCATATTGCCAGGATTAGACTTGTGAAATTACTAAAAAGCGTTTAAATAGTTGAAACAAAAGTATACCGATCTATCTATTTACGATTACTATTATTTCTGATATTTCGGAATTTCGAGCATTAAAATTGTCTTATGCAGCTAACGGTTGGAATTATAGTATGATTTTGAGGGTAGAGCATGGATATCGTAATTGAGTATCTAAATCTACCAAATTGCACACAACTTTTGTAGGTGCTTAGAAGTAGATCCTAACAAAACAGCCATTTATCGATTTTTTTCTTAATGTTCCTTTGAATCCAAGACAAATGTTAGATTTTTACTGTGCCATTTTACAGCCCCGACTTAAGACGACTTTATTAAGAACATGTTTTGGGTGTGTCGCGATTTTTGTGCTTGCTGAATTATTCACGCAGATAAAATGTGCATCATTGGAGATGGCAAATTTGTATTTAACATAACTTGCATAATATTGTTTCTGGGAGGTAGCCCAGATTATGTGATAAAACGGTTTTTGTTATTATGATCAGATAAACACTGTATATATCAGGAATGTTGTATCGGTGTAGCTCAGCAGGTACAGAAGTCGCAATCACCAATAAAATTATTTATAAAATAAATAATTGCGACGAATAAGTCTTTGCGTGATAAAACCGACAAATTTACTTAAGAAACGCGTTCTCGAACCAGATATAGGTTGCGCCAGCGCCAGTATAGTATTTTTTTTGTTAAATATAAATTGTTGTAAATATAGTTTCTGAAGGTTCGCAATATAGTTTTATATTAATGAAAACCGACCGTCTTCTCCAACTTTTCTTTTTCTGAAATTCTAACTTTCTCTGCTCACAAAATTGGTCATCCTCTAAGGCTATGCCTATAGTTACTAATACTGAACTAATCGCGTAAATCTAGTCATAGCCTCAATCAATCAACAATGTAAGTTTTTATTGTATTGGGATGACCAAAATTGCACTTAAGCGAGAAAATTTTATATCTGACGAATGCGTACTTAATTGCTCTAATTAAGAGTAATAAATCAGACGTATTTAATTATTGCAGTTAACGAGTGGACTAGTTATTGTAGTCGACTTTCGGATTCATTTTTATGTGTTTACCGCAAACAGACTCACCAGTCTCACCGCAAACAGACTTAAAATTTGTTAAAATCAGTGATTGTAATTTTTTGTTTGATTTGAAATGCTTTTATAGATTTCACTAGAAACGCTGCTGCGGCCATAATAAGTCATGTTTAAAGATAGATGAAAAGTGAAATAATATTTTTACGAATAGTTCCGAAAGTGCTGCTTAAAGTACTCATATACAGGTTCCTAAATAATGTCTGAAATTAACTTGTGGAAGATCACAAAAAAATACTGTATTGGCAAGAATTTCCCCGGTGAGCATTACAAATCAAACTTACCCTGCTAATCAATTTACAGGATTAGGTTTACAACTGGTTTTAATATTATTATTAGCAGATAAGTCTTAATTTTTTCTATTAGGTTTATTTTTAAGTGAATCGTCTTACATCATTTGTATTTTTATCGATTTGTTTATTTTAGTTTTTAGCTATTTTATATTTATATATTCTTATTATATTTGATTTGCTGATGGTTGATAGTTCTGAATGCTAAGATGCGTGCCCTATGCTTAAACAGGGCATTAAAAATACTTAATTCACGAAGTATCTTATGTGTAAATCGTAAACATCATTCGTTTCATTTTATTTTGGCATACGCTCGCTTATATCATTTTGTGAAACTTTGATAGTTTCTCATTCCATTTTCTATATATTTATTTCTTTAATTGGCAGCAAGATGAATGGCGAATTGACACAACATGTAAAATATCAAAATATTTAGGAAAGCAGCCAAATGCAAGATTTGTTGAAACGAGAGAGTGGGGCAAGTCTTCGCGATTTGGAAAAACGTCTTCCAAAAATTTGAACAGTAAATGGTAAATGCTTAAAAAATATTGTTTTTGTTGCTCCATGAATTTAATTTGTTCTTTTCTAAATTGATTCACACAATATATTTGCCATTCACTGTGCAATGCATTGATTAAACTAACTTAGTGCAAAATGAACATTAATAGTTGATTGATTGTCCTGTTCCTGGTTTCTGTACTTTTCTCCGTTTAAGCAGCACCAAATGGAACAATTTTCCCTAGAGACTCACGAATCTCTGCACTGTGTGTCTTAAATGACAAATTGTCGCCCTAAAAGGGTTTCAAGAGAGCCCATGGGCCATTTTATATTCCCAAGTATATTTTTGTAGTCGAAACAATGTACGCCATTTAAGACACTCACGTCGCGACCGAGGACGGCGACTAGAACAAATTTGTAAAGCTTACCTTGACTTGTATAAACGTTTTACTGCGAATGTGTTTTAAGTATATAAAAAGTATATATGATTAAAATATTGTGTGATGAAAGGACAACTTAGATTATACAGTTGAAAACTTAGATTGTAAAATGATTATCAAACTCTATGTAATATACATAAGTACATAATATAATATGTGCCATTTTTCTTATGAGTTTGTGTTTTATTTCATCTTTTCATCAAGTTATTTAGTTTATAATCAATAGATATACTAGTTTATAAAATGATGGATGTCGAACTATCTAAAGGATATTTTGCATATATTTCTATGTCTACTCTTTTTCAAGTTTTTATTCTGTTTCATAGTGTTTATAAAAATATTTTGCATATATATACATAAAGTTACTTGTATGTGCCTGCTTTATTACGGTTTTTTAAATTAAAACATAACTAACTAAACTGATCTTATAACCCAAACAAAGTACACGCAATATACATGTAACAATGAAGATTTTGAGAAAGTACATACCTGTAGACTGAGGCTTATTATATTACAGTATATACTTATACTCCTTAATGCTGCTCTTTTCAGAAGCGCATCTTTCTTCCGAAACAAGATGGGCATCAATCGGAAACTTCTTCCTCTTGTAAATCGAACCAATCCCGAAGTAGAAATCCTGAGGCCTCGAGAATATCAAGATCGATGATTTTCTACAGGCAAAACGAAAAGATAAGATCTTAGTACCTCTTGAAGGTATTGGATTAAAATACCTGGCCGAGAATACTTGTGTGAAACAACTTCTTGTTCTTCACTGTAACTATCAGTCTGTGAGCGGGTAATTCGAAAACTGACAAGAGATATTCGAAGGTATGCTCGTACACTGGATCACACGAATCCAGCACAACCTGAAATAGAAATGGATTTGATAAAATTCTTAGTTTAAATATCTATATTTCTCATTAATCGTAATGTCATGGAGTTTTAATAATAAAATTGACAATACAAAAACCTCAGCCAGTCGCCATTCGTCAGGAAAAGTTTTTTCGCTGAACTTATAATGGGGATATAATTACTACATTTACTGTAAAAACTTACTTTTGTTCTGTGTTTAACTGGGCTAATCCCTGGTCCCTCCAAACGCAGTTTGACGTAGGGATCTGGAATATCGCCAGGATTCTTCAGCGGCAAATTGCTGTAAATATCAGGAATCAATACACAATAGCCATAACATAAATAATTCATTATTCAGAAAGACTGTTGAACGTCTCGAGAAATGCATAATGGCTTTTTTACATTCTTCCTAGTAATTGTATAAATAATACTAGATTTTGGTGGCAACAAAAATTTGATGATTTTTTTATTTAAACTATAATTTTCTTAACTTACGCGATCCGATGCACCGTTACCAGCAACTTTTGCCGCGTTCCACTGTAATCTAATGTCAGTTCTATTCTGCCTCGTTCTTCAGGCCGCCTAACAAAATTAAAAATAAAATAATTACACACAAGTTCTAAGAAATTGTATTGCTAGTTGTGAAAAGATTCTGTTAAATGTGGACATTTTAAAATACGCTCTTATCACTCAAACAAAATTAGTTTCAAAGATAAAATCCTGGTTGCAACTTACTGTACAAATGTGGACTTTTGGATCAATGAAGCATTACTAGCTGCTACTTCAGATTTCTGAAAAGCTTCTATTTGATCCGAATTGGATGTCGCTGAACTCAGAGGCTCAATATGTACAATTTCTTTTGGAGCTTTGTTGAAGGATTTTCGCCTTGAGACAGTTGATGGACAGTCATCTAAGTCAGAGTCTGAATCGGACTCTGTCGCTTCGAAAAGGGCGTTTTGCATAATCTAAGTTCGTAAAAAATGAGTATTCGTTTTTAATATATTCTGGATGTTAATACTCACTCTTAATTGCATTGAAAGTGTTAGTTTGCTCTCTGAATTCAGTTGCAATTGGAATTTCTCCTTGCTTATCTGCATCGATGGTTTATCACACAGATCCTTAATGTTGTATACCATTTTATCCAGCGTACTATCTGAATGTTTGTCTGAAATTGGAAATATATGATAGTAAATAAAATAAATGGTTTATATGAAACAACATACCCATAACAGTAATTATTAAGGAATCGGTTTCAGGATTTTTGACTAACAAATAAAATCCCTGTTCCCATGTGGGATCGCAAGTGTGTCTTCGTCTGCGACTTTTCGTTTGGTTATCTCCAACCGTTAAAATGATATAAGGATCAGGTTTTTTATAAAACTTTATTTTCTGTAAAAAAAACGTCGTTATCAATCAATTAAAACACACAACATTCACCAACGTACAGAGAATTTAAAAAATCTTGACTGATCTCATTTTTAGAGTAAAGGAATAAACGGCTTATTATGTTAGTGTAGTTATTAATATTCATTACTGATCAAGAGTTATGTGACACGAATTATTTCTACGAATGCTTCAAATAAGGAACTTACCGGTAAATTAATAGCTGAATCTACATATAAGGTGAGCAGGCCAGCATGGAGGTTTTCTGTTTTAAGAAGCTTCGTTTCTTGGGTGGCCTAAAAATATTGTTCTCAATTAGAAACACTACGAAATCGCCTACTTAATAGTTACCAAGTTTAGTGCGTTTAACTCAGAAGTAAGTCCCAGCCAACTGAACCTCAAGTGAATCTTTCCGTGTTTGACGTTTTCTAGATTGAACCACTGGTCGTTTTTCCCGGGTTTAATCACTTCAGAAATATCAACAGCGCCGCTAGAATATTAATATATTTGAACATCGAATTCTTTAGGAATCGCCCCCATTTACTTCTCACCTTCCCAAGAAATCGTCTTCTCTGAATTCATCCTGATCAAATAGCTTGAAGTATAATTGTTGAGCTTCAGGATCCAAAATAATAAACTGCAATATTACACACAAAATCAAATCGTGTAAACCAGATATAGAAAAACGACGTTTTTGTGGACAATCTATAAAGCCAAGCGTTTCAGGGCTGAAATATTAATTTGCTTAATTTGTAATGTTTTCTTTTGGAAAAGGAAACATTGTTTTAGGTCACATCGGGTAAAAGTAAATGTTGAGTATCTATTTACAGAAAAATGAAGAATCTATTATTTAAAACCCTTGTTAATTCTCAATAAATTTATATGGTATTTTGTTTTAAATACCTCACAATAATAATCCCATTGTGGATTCAAGTCTCTTTTTATAACTTGCGTTTTTAATTCTTGAGCGCCAACATGTAGAATCACGTAAGGATCCGATTTTCCTGTTACATCCTTCTTTTCCAAGTCCCGCGCTTCAAATACGTGAACTCTCAAGACACCCTATGAAAACCGAAAATTATTGATTTTGTTTAAATAAATTACCTTTTTAAAGCCAATTTAAATGTTCCAACATAGTATTATTATAAATCGCTTACCGCTGGTTCGATCGATTTCAGTTCGGCAGCCTCGATGGCTTTCGAAAAACGCTTCGTTATCTTGTTTGGAAATACCAGTTTTTTCTTAATAATTTCTTCTATTTTTTGTCGAACCAAATAACTGAAAAATGTATTCGTTGACTGACTAGATGCGAAAAAGTGATTTATATATTATGAATATCTAACGAATTTTTATAGAACTAATTATTAGAATTTTCGTTCGTACCTACCTAAATCCTGGAATGCCTGTGATTCCTTCCAATTCGAATTCAATGTCGGGAACATTAAGAAAAAATATCTGAATTCCTCCTATGACGGGCATTTTAAAAAGCAGTGGCTTCAGGACAACTCTTATTTCGACCCCCATCTGAAGAGATACATTTTTGAGCATTTAAGGGTTTGTATGTCCAATGTTAAGACTTTACCTGAAAATCCTTTATGGTTCCAATTTGAGCTCCAGACATGGAAAAATTAACATCGCAGTCGCCGTCATAACTAAAACAACACTCCTAAAATCCCCAATATTCGCGGGTATTTAGTAGTCTGACTTACAACACTTCAAAGTCTATAACAATGGAATCTTTAGCTACTGATTGGTTGTAGACTTTAATTCCGTCAATTTTCGGGGGCTGAAAAGTGCAATAGTTGATAAAAAATGTAAACTAATTTTAGTTACCAACCGAACTGCCGAAGTCGATGTCCTCAAAGCGAAAGGAGTCAAACTTCTTCCTAATGTTAGTCTGAATTTTACCTCTGCAGTATTTCACAATATAATTGTTTAAATTTGGCCATAGTTGAGATATTATCTGAAATATCCATCAAAAACAGTTAAACTCACATTAAACACATTTTTTCAATAAGTTAAACTTACTTAAATTATATTTTTATTTATTTCTTATTTAGTCCTAAAATGAACAATATTGCAGCAAAAATCATACAAATCTACTGTTTTGCTAAAGCAAAAATAGTTTTTTACGACGGCGCAACTACAAATTTCACTACAGAATGTTTAAAGACTATTCAAGCAGATATAAGTCTTCTTTAATTAAATACAAAATAAGTATTATATTATTAGCTTTGATAAACTTACGTCGTTTAACCACTCAGCTCGTTCTCTGTCCGGGAAATTTACCTAAAAATAAATGTATTTGTAATTGATTGAATCTAATTTCATTGGCGATTACTAGTAAAAAAATTCAAAAAGCTAACAAAACATTTCAGGTGGATTTTTAAATACATTAAAGGAAATATTCTATTGTAACAGATAAGCTATTTTATAACTCAATTTACAAATGTTTTTCATAAACTGATGAGTGTTTTTTCAACGCCTAATTTGATGCTAAATATATTTGGTATATTACTATTTATTATTATTATAATTGCATATGTTTAATATGTAAAGTACCTGATCTTTACGAAGGCGATTTTTAATAAAAACAACCAAAGTTTTAAATTGTCTTGTAAAGCCATATAATTTTTTAAACAAGTATTAATGAATAAATTCATTTATTCAATGAATAAATTCAAACTACACTCAAGTTTCTTTAGTATGGTTTCAATATGAATTTAAGATTTTTCGTTGCATGTTGAAATAACAAATTAAACAATTTGTACATAAGTTCTATATTGTTGAGGCGGATTCATTTTTTACAAACGTCTTGTTGGGTATTTCGCCTCAAAAATTTTTGTCTTTAAAAAAGACAGAATTTTCTCAATTAAGGAAGTAATTAATTAATTATTAATTAATTTAAAGTAATTTTTCAAATTTATTTCTTTACTAATTGGAATTTTCTCTTACAGCTTGAGCCTAAGTGTGTCGCAGGATACCCTCTAGGTGATAGTTCTTGATTACTTTTTGATAAA